TCGAAAAATTAGATCTGGATGACGAAAACTATTTCTTCAATGAGCTAAACATCAAACATGTTAATGTTCCACTTCAGGTGTATTGCAAGTTTCATCGAAGTTTCACTCCATCAGCTTCATTCCTAAGGAGGGAAAGCCAACAAAAGGTGTGTATTATTTTGTTGTTTTATGTCATTCATTTGTCATTCTACTTTATAATATCGTCCTATTGACAAGCAATTTATTGACTAGAGAAATAAGCCTTAAGCTGTAAGATTTTCTTGGCTAAAAAGGCATGAGTTTGTAGAAACAACAAGATGTGTCGCGATCGAGTGAAAGGATGTCGACTAGAAGAGTTAGTCGACAAGAACATGGGATTCAGAGGCAACCATCGACATCCATAAATGTCAATGAGCAAGGATATATGGTGGCTTGAACAATTATCAACACGTAAGCCAGTAAGAACATGGAATGTTCAAAGCAGTTTAGAGCAGTTTCTCCATAAATCCCCAACATGGGCTAGTAACTATCGATGGTTACTGTGATCGGTGGGAATGAGAACTAATTGTTTTGGAATGCTGGTTCGCATTTGCGTTTGTTTTCACAAAATATAGCGGTAAGCAAGAGTCGCCACCGTCTTTTATTTTATCCAACAAGGAAAGGACAAAAGCACAAAAAAATTCCTTTTCGAGATGTTTCTCGGGTTCGGGAGGTAGATTATAGAAAGGGAAGGTATTAGCACCCTTTCTATCCATGGTTATCCACGGGCTCTTAGGTACTTGCTCACTATGTTTTCAAAAGTTTGTTTTTCTTTGTGTTTGTGGGTTTGAAAAGAGTTTTTGTTTTGAAGAGAGTGTAAGTGCGAAAAGTTTTGTTTTGTTTTAAAAGGAGCAAGTACTTAAGAACCTCTACCTACTCAAAAAGGAATTAAAATGTGCAAATGTCCTTTAGACAGTGCTATCCCACTATTGAGGAGTAGGTAGCACTATCGTTGGAGTTTTCGGGTCAATTCGATTTAAGGGATGTGTGGCCACTAAAGCAATGTTAGGACGCCTTAGCGGTAACCCTAATGTCTTAGATCATTTTTCCGAGGCAACCGTTTTGAGGCAACTTATGATCTTTTGACAAAAGAACGACCTCTAAAACATCCTATACTCAATGACCACGTTCGAGGCAACCAAGTGAGGTGTACCCTAAGAGTGGCATGTGCGAGTGTATTGTTTTTCAGTTATATTATCTTTGTATATTTAGGTGTTCTACCGTTTGTTTTCAGATCTTGTCATGCAATCCTAGTTAGCATATATCTAAACAGTTAATATATGTACAGGAATTTAAAGTGCGGGAATTGTAAATCCTACACTATTACAAGGCTTCGGGGAGGGGGATTATTTACATGTCCAAAATTGGGGAAATAAAGCAGTAAAGTGTAAAAGTCTTAGTTAAGCTATTACAAACCAGTAGGCAGTTACAATAAAATAAACGCGCGTGAATCTGAACATAACCTCTAAAAAATCCTAAGAATAAAATCTTTTTGTTGTTTTATTTTATTTGGGGAAAATGATCTAAATCTTCTTAATTTTAGTTTTGAGAAAATGTTAAGATAATTAAATGATTAATTAAAAAAGTTAATTTAATAGAAAAAACTAGCCTAATGTTTTTGTGGTTTTTTTTAATTGATTTTATGTTGATTAAAAAAAAGAAATAAAATAGTCAAAACAAAGATGAAATCGAAGGAACAGGCAGTAAATCAAGAAAGGTATAATTCTGGAGGCCTGGATCGAAGGTGCACGAGGGGCTGCACTTTGGGGGTGTTCGATCTGGATATGTCATCCTTCGATCTGGGAACCCTGGATCCAGTTCGAAGCTAAGCTGCTAAGCTTCGAAGCTCTGAACAAGATTCTGAGAAGATATTTCCTGCAAAACGAGACAAATGTTAAAGATCCAGGGGGGATTTTACCCCCCTGATTCAAATCTCCTCCCAATTCGAATCCTTCCTCAATTTGAATCTGCTGAATCTGGGTCTGGGTTTGTTTTATCCTGAGATTCAAAGGAGAAACTTAGATCGTGCCCCAGCAACGGCACGATCTCATCTTTGCGCTTCAGCTTACATGCAACATAATTAGTAATAATAAGAATACATATGCAATGTGTATTTAAATGTCATGAAGGTGCAATTTTGGTTTTGCAAACTCTTACCAATTAAAGATGTATGATCTGTGGCTCTGGGTATGGAGATGTTCGCTGAATGGCTGCTTTGGCTTGGATTACTTATGGAAATGTTGATAACCTTTGGTGGGTTTGTGGGCAGCGTATCTCCAAATCCTCCTTTTTTTTTCCTTTTTTTTGTTCCCCCCCTGGCACTGTATGCTTGCCCTTGTATTTATAGGAGTATGATGTTCTAGTAACGGCAAGAGACAACCAATTAAACAAGCCTTTAAAGCCATGAGACAAGAATCATACATATTAAAAGATTTTCTTTTTTGAAATATTCATGTCTCTTTGGAATCTTGAATGAACCTGGACACTTTTGATTTTTGAATGCCTTCAGGCCTTGCTCTTCGATTGGTCTTGATTTTCCTCCTTCGAATGGATTTCTTATGTACCCTTCGAATGGGCCTTCTTTGCCAACTTCAAAGTCCAATTCGAATCTATTTAGAACATTCCCTTTTAGACAAATTCGACCAGCCCTTGGCCTTGTGATGAGTCTAAGTTCTGATTCGAAGTGTTCA